AGACATTTGTGAGAATTATCAATTGAGGTATCAGGAGACATTTGTGATTTCTTTAGTAAAGCACAGTGATTTTATAAGACCGGTGCCTCTCATAAGTATTTTCATGTGTCCTTGCGTTTACGTGTTTTTATTTTTTTTTTTGTTTTACCAGTGTTTGTTTTACGTTTGTGTTTGTGTGTTTTACGTTTGTGTTTGTGTGTTTTACGTTTGTGTTTGTGTGTTTTACGTTTGTGTTTTTGTGTTCTACGTTTGTGTTTTCGTTCATTTTTAGTGTTTTATGTTCAAGTCCGTTTTAGTTTTATTTCTTAATGTTCTTATGTTTTTGAGTTTTAATAGATTAATAATATTTTAAGATTGTTTAGAGACCCCTCGCAGTACTGCAGTCAATGAGTAAGACTCAAGGATTGTAAAAGGAAGGAATGACTAGACCGGTATCATAATCCGTATAAGCATCGCGGGACCAATCTGCGTTCTGGAGATCTTCCCCCGCACACGTCTCCTCTCGGCTTAAAGGACACGTCTACCGTACTCTCGCACACTACATGTACACACCTTTCTCTCTCTCTCTCACACACACACACATACACTCCCTATCTTTCCGTTCCCTACACTCTTCCTTTGCTCTATCACCTCACAACCATTACACTAAACGTTCCCATTAAATGGGTGGTGGCAGTGAGCTATTTTTTTTCTATCTTGCGAGAGTTTTTCTTTCCTTATACGGCCGCTACAGGGGCCATTAGTGAAAATAGAAGTGTCAAGTCGAGCGTGTGTCTGTGTGCTCCTCCCCATGGATCTTACAGCGATTTGCCAACGCAACTGAATGACAAAGGTTGTATCTGAGTCTTATTCAGGGAAGGGGAAGCTGGGCGTGCTAATTCTATGTAGTTTTCAATGTGGCTTGTAAGGGACTTTTATTTTGCTTTATAGAGTAAACAGGACTCGCCTATCCTGGTCCTTATGCCTCTTATCCCGCTTCGCGGGGCATCGCCCCTTTGACGGCGACAAAAGGGCTCCTCTCACGGACACTTTACAGGGCACTGCTAAAAGATTTCAAATACATACGTGCTTTTTTAGTGATAATATTCTAATGTTTTGCATTGTTTGATGATTAATTTAACAGCTTTAGTCCCAGTTTTGGGACCTAGTTGTAAATCATAGGGACGCAATCTATATCAGAGAATGGCTCCATCAAAGACGCCCTAAAATTTAATTAGTCTAGGGGCCCCTAAAAGTCATAATGCGGCCCTATGGCAACTCTCAAATGGCCCCTATGCATACACCTTAAAAATATAGAAATTCCTGCATTGTGCATTTATATGTGTTTGTACATCTGATTTCTATTTGACTATTTCATGTGCTGTACAAATGAATTGATTAAGTATCGCGATTCGATGAATATCTGCTCTCCTACCCCCCCCCCCCTTGACTCCCCCACCGAACCAAACTCACACACACCCATCGACACCCTTCCACCTCCCCACACCGAACCTCATATGATCCCCAGCCCAGAACCTATTAAGAAACCTAGCCCTGAACCCCTCGTGAACCCCAGCCCCACGTCACCCTCCCCGGGTAATGCAACTACTAACCCAGTGCTACCCGAACTTGACGTCATCACCGGCCAGTGTTGTGCGGCACTGCAGGCGCGCGACCCTGCTGACGCAAGCGAGCCGCGCATTCCTCCTCGGCCCGGCGTCAAAATCCCCCCTCAAGACCCCCACATTCATCAGCAACAGAGAAGATGAGCAACAAAGTAACACAGGTGACGCCCACGCGCAACAACATTAGAAATAGCAAGAGGAGAAACAAGCGGAACAACAGAAAGGAAAACGACAAGCAAGAAAACACAGTTCCCCCTCCACCAACCGCACCGAACCGCGAGTGGAGTGATGCAAAGTACCACCACGTGCCCGGGGTTCCCCAGCCCGACAGTAGTAACACGGCTCCTGTTGTGATAAGTAATAACTACAGTCACAACCATGTAAGACACGAAACGTCTAATCCAAGCAATCAATGTAGATGCGGATGGGTTTACTCTCGTGGAAAAAAGAAAAAAGAAGACAAAATAGAACAAAGATCTACCGCTAAACCTTTACAGGGGGCAGCTAAACCAGAGGTGTTGTACCTTTACATGACAAACTGCCACACAGACACTGAGGAAGCAGATATCGAGAATCACCTACTCGTTAACTTCCCTGAGATGGACGATGTAAATGCATTCAAAACAAAAAATCATTCATATAATGCCAGCTTCACTGTTTCTCTTAAAGGCAAAGCACTTGTAGCTGATGAATTTCTGAAGTCAGATTCCTTCTCCAGCCCCGTGAGAGTCTTTTTAAATAGAAACAAGTACAAAACCTCGCAACCCGAGCGGGATGTATGACCAAAATGACTCGTCAACAATAGCGCCAGCTAACGCAAGACCCCGCAGAACACTTCCCAGCATTTACCTTGCAAATGCATGCTGCCTTACAAACAAAGTGGACGAACTTGACGTCATAATGAAACAAAATACTATCGATATTGCAGTAATCACAGAAACTTGGTTCAAAGATGATACATTAAACATCGGAACCATACAGGGGTACCACTTATTTAACAAAATTCGTCAGAGCAGAAAAGGTGGTGGCGTTGGTATTTACATCAAAGATGCTATCCCCTGCAACACTATAAAATCCATCTGTCCACCAAGTGACGACCTTGAAACATAATGGCTCGCTGTTAGACCTACATGGATGCCTCGCGAAATCAGTGTGCTGGTAATCTGCGGGATATATTTCCCCCTAAGGGCACCTACCGAAGAAAGCCTCAGAGAACACATAGGCCCATATCCCTAGTCCCTCACGATCCCGAAGTGTCGCGTTCGGCTGCACGAAGCTTCGTGTTCGGGTTGAAGAAGGACGATCCCGAAGCGTTGTGTTCGTTCGCACGAAGTTTCGTGTTCGGGTTCCAAAAGGACGATCACGAAAGTCGTATCCCTAATCACAATTGAAGTATCAAAACGCTTAATTACCACCTCGAAAATATAAATAGATTGCACGATATACATTTATATTGTTGTTGTTTTTTAATTTAAAACACGGAAATTAAATTATGAATGCTATGCACCGATCGTTATCGTCTCTGCTTGCAACGTTTCGGACCTTTTCCTTGCTGTTTTTCGTATTTGGCGCCATTCGACTTTACGCGCCAACCAGAATGGACCGCCTAATAATAATAATAATAATAATAATAATAATAATAATAATAATAATAATAATAATAATAATAATAACAACAAGCATTCTGGGTCTTAAGAAATCTACAAATGTATCACACAAACAGAAAGCTAGAGTCGGCGATAGAGGAAATTTTGGCGCGCAAACTTTAACTTGATAGCGGGAAAGAAAACATTAATTTTGAAAAATGTGATAAGCGTGACGTAATTCATTAGCAGCTATTTGTTCGTAAGTTATATCATATAAAATAAACTACTAATCATGCCTAACCTTATCCAATCAAGCTGAAGAAACCATTTATCGATCATATGAAAATCCCCAATATAACATATGGAAACTACAAATTTTATTTCAAATTAAATAATAACCAATAGACTTTGAAATAAATAATCACCTGAACAACTAGTAACTTTCAATGCTAAAATGTCCCTAATGCCGAGGCCAGAGCTCTTGTCTTGAATGACTGGCCGTTCTTCAATTGATTGTAATAAAACAATTCTTTGGCGTTCAGAAAGCGCTGGAAGGCGGACCATTCTGGTTGGCGCGTAAAGTTGAATGGAGCCAAATACGAAAAACAGCAAGGAAAAGGGCCGAAACATTGCAAGCAGAGACGATAACGATTGGTGCATAACATTCATAATTTAATTTCCGTGTTTTAAATCATAAAACAATATAAAATGTATATC